ACGCAATCACCACGAAGTGTTCTCGTGGCCACATGTGTTCACACGTCATCTGATCACGTTTCACATGATCACCTTGTGATTCAAGTGAATCATGTGGTTGATTCATTTGTATGCAGAGCACGTTTCATGCAACGATTTAAGCTTCATTTTACAATTGTACAACATCATTTGACTGTCAACATGGATGCAAATCGTTTTGCTATTTTTCGTCAAAGGCTTTTTCAAGTCTATAGTTTGTTAGAAGAAGGTCAAGTCAAGCAAGAATTTGACAGGTTGGCAGAAGAATTTCCAGAATTGAATGGTGAAGAAGCCTCTCCAGCGGATGAAGCTAAAGCGTTGGCCTCCGGCTTCCAAGCTTTATGTCTTCAAACACCTCCAAGTGTTGAAAAGAAAAAGATAAAAAAGAAAACCAAAGAAGAAGTAAAAAAAATTTTAGCTGCGTCACTAGAAAATACTGATGCTCTCACCGACTACAGCGATGTTGACGCCGTTGTTAGCAACACTGAACAAGATTGCTTAGAAAAGTTGCGTCTTCTCAACAAGGCCTTAGTAGATGCAAACAAGAGACTGATATATTTTTCTGCCCTTCAGGGAGAAGTGCTACAACAACTAAAAAACATTACGAAATGTACTATTAATGAGTTGGGAAAAAAACCGATTTCTCCCAATCACATATATATTTTTTAATGAATTTGTATAATCTGATTAAAGACAATAACAGGCTTCGTTTTTCAGACTTACCTTTATCCTTTTTTAAAAATAACATGCGTACAATCAAACAAATTTGCCAGGAAGATATTTGTTTTATGTAATAAAGATTTTTACTTCAACAATGATCTAAATATTTTATGGGAATAGTTTCTCCTGCTGGAGAGGGGGATTTAGAAATATTATGGGAATAGTTTCTCCTGCTGGAGAGGGGGATTTAGAAATATTATGGGAATAGTTTCTCCTGCTGGAGAGGGGGATTTAGAAATATTATGGGAATAGTTTCTCCTGCTGGAGAGGGGGATTTAGAAATATTATGGGAATAGTTTCTCCTGCTGGAGAGGGGGATTTAGAAATATTATGGGAATAGTTTCTCCTGCTGGAGAGGGGGATTTAGAAATATTATGGGAATAGTTTCTCCTGCTGGAGAGGGGGATTTAGAAATATTATGGGAATAGTTTCTCCTGCTGGAGAGGGGGATTTAGAAATATTATGGGAATAGTTTCTCCTGCTGGAGAGGGGGATTTAGAAATATTATGGGAATAGTTTCTCCTGCTGGAGAGGGGGATTTAGAAATATTATGGGATTTAGAAATATTATGGGAATAGTTTCTCCTGCTGGAGAGGGGGATTTAGAAATATTATGGGAATAGTTTCTCCTGCTGGAGAGGGGGATTTAGAAATATTATGGGAATAGTTTCTCCTGCTGGAGAGGGGGATTTAGAAATATTATGGGAATAGTTTCTCCTGCTGGAGAGGGGGATTTAGAAATATTATGGGAATAGTTTCTCCTGCTGGAGAGGGGGATTTAGAAATATTATGGGAATAGTTTCTCCTGCTGGAGAGGGGGATTTAGAAATATTANTTTTTTTAGACATATCAACAAAGTTGAAATGGTAAATTGGCCACCGTAATGATTACAAAAGCTGACGTTTCGAGCGTTCGCCCTTCGTCGGAGCGAATAGAGGAATGGTGGGTTGTGTGTGCTTTTAAAGGCAGAAAATGGAGCTACGTTATTGGTGGGAGCATGGCAACGAGAAAAACATGAATAGATTAGTGGAATGAAAAGTGTTCGTTCATCCCGCTTTGTTGAGAAGTAATCAACATACTGCTTTAAGTATGAGACAAGTCAACTTTTGTCTATTAGCCAAAGTAGATCAATACTTTGGATAGACGTGAGTGGGTTTTTTGTTGTTTTTTTTTAGTTTGTCATCTACTTTAAACAATATAAACTGCGCTTTTTTGAGAAATAACCGATACTGCTTTAAACAAATCGAGCTCTGCTCAGTATGGAGTAGCACTTCGTCCAGGGAGAGTAGAAGAATTCCCAGACTCTTCATGGTCCTTCATGATACGCAAACTGGGAGAGGCTCGGGAATTGTGGGCGAATTGGCTCAGGGTCTCATTGGCGCTGCGACAAGAACAGCGAAGCCCGAGCTTTTCTGACAGTGAGCGAAGTGAGCGCTCAAGAGGTACACGAGGATTCGGGAACAATAATGATTCTAACTTAGCTTCCAAACACCTTTATGGAACTCTCAAGTTTGCGTACCTTGGGACCCAAAGACTGTTGTGTTGCGGGTGAAAGGTAGTGGGTATTAGTACTTAGCATTTAAAGCTAATGAGTTGAGTCGGTGCTTGAAAAACTAGAAACAAATGTCCACCGGCGAACCTGTTGTGTAAAAAAAAAGGCACATAAGCGGAGTGGGATTGGAACCTTTTTTTTAAGGAGTTCCATTCTCTCTTCCTGGAGACTTGAAGTCAACTTCGGTAACTATTCACCATTGGATTTTCTCTGTAGGCGAGCACTTAGCGTCGAATCGAGAAGTGTGAAATCTTTGTAATATTTCTGAATAAAAATGCTTTTAGGGAGTTATTAGAGTATAATGAGATTTCAAAAAGTTCTCTGTGTCAATTGTTTAAAACCTTTTTTTCTCTTTTTGTTGTTGATCTTTTTTTAAACCGCACTTAAGCGAGGAAATTGCTTCGTCAGTATTATCAGCATTCAGGGTCGTTAGTCGTCTTTTGAATTTACCAAGTGTAGAAGTAGATCCTGGAGCGATTGACTTAGAACAGCTCTTTGAACTCTAAAAAAAAGTTACTGATTGTATGGATTTCACAAAGTAATCTCCGCTAAACTGTGGAAGTTTCTCCTCGTTTAGTGCGGGCTCTTAACTGCCGGAGAAATAATAATGATAATGATAATAATAATAATAATAATAATAATAATAATAATNTGGGACCCACTCGGTCAGCTTAGTTTTCCAGGCCCGTTCGGTTAGGAGCTCGTGTGTTGCGTCTTTAGTTTCAGCAGAGTTCACTTTACAACCTCATTATTTGTCAGTTTATCACTCATCGCAGCGCCATCCATGCAAGTTTTCATCTTTCTGTTATTTTATTGCTTTCTCTTATCGTATTTTCTGTCCTCTGTTTCCGTTTCATCGTTTTCTGTATTTTATTTGCATGTAGTTTCAACGCTCGACACCGAAGATAAATAAACACATTGATTTGCATAGTCCTCGTGTTTGGTTAAACACTGCACTGAGAACGCGACAGTGAAAATGGATGACTTAGCAATCAGCTGCCCCCTTTGGAGTTCGGAGTAGATCAGAACATTTGATTCAGGTACGCAACTGTGAATTCAATTTACGAAGCTTGTATTCGCAATGGCCGCCAACACGTGTAGTCACACACCGGTGAGCCCGCCATTTAATAATAATAATAATAATAATAATAATAATGATAATAATAATAATAATAATAAACTTTATTAATGTGTCAAATTCATAGCAGTTTGCCACTAAATAAGGACACCTAAACTAAACTAATCTAATATGTATAAAATACATAAAATATGCAATTCTGCCCCGTATAGTTGACCCTATATATATGTACTACCCTACCCTGTGTAATTAAAATTACCTAAAGATTAGAAATACAATACTGATCATATAAAATATTAAGATTTACATAAGATAAATTTCTTGCAATTCTCCGAGGAGATTAAACTTTGTATATCTAATGTATGTAAAGAACTTGTAGCGTTCTCAGTGTTCTTGTTTTTCCGTCTAACTTAGGCCAGATTACTGGACCTAAGTACCCAAGAGAGTGCTTACCATAACGTGTTGTACTTTTTCTGGGAATAATGAAATTATTGTTTCTTAAATTATATCTATTATTATTAATGTCAAACAAGTTCTTTATTTGGGCACAGATCGTTTTTAACTTTATACATTAAGACGGCTATATCATGTAATCTTCTGTAATATATAAAGTTGTTAATTTAGCCCGTTTAAGAAGATCGCTATATGATGATATGCTATCACAGTAAACAGCCTTAAGACCCCGTTCCTGTACCCTCTCTAATTTTCTAGAATCNAGTGCATATAGCTTCATGTATTCATTGTATCTGATTTATCATCACGGGTTTATTACGAATCAACTTAACTTATTACTAATGATGAGGGCGATAATTGCTGGGGTTTGCAGCATCTCCATTTTTATATACTGGAGACACCTGAGAGACTTTTAATATATCGGAACAATACCAGTTTCTATACACTGGTTTTAAATATGTTAGACGTATTGACAATGGTTGAGCAGCTATTTTGATTAATATGTTAGGGATATCTAGGGATGACTCGTGGTCATTTAAGCATTTAAATAATGAGCAGACTTGGGTTTCAGTAACACAAGATAGAACAAAGCTGTCTTCCGGGGTTGATTTAATGTACTGGGTAGGATTTCCTTCACAGCGTCCAATCTTGTGGGCTAGATTTGGACCTACATTAACAAAATTTTTGTTAAATTGATCTGCAATATCAGTTTTTTTCTGTGAAGACTCTATTGTTATGCACGATTTTTGAAATGGGGTTCTGCCCCTTATGGTTGCGGTTTATTATTGTACCAATTAACTTCCATGATGCCCTCAGATTATTCTTGCATTGGTCAAACTGCTGAGAAAAATAGGTCTTCTTACTCACACTTTTAAGCCAGTTTAGTTTATTAGCAAACTTTTTATATTTCGCCACTTTATCCGGATTATTAGAAAGAAAATGTGTTTTGTACATAGCGTGTTTAGTTTTGATTGATTTTAAAATGCCATTTGTTATCCAGGGCTTAATTAGTAGATAATTTTTGTTTTCTTCTGGACATACGTCGAATAGGTGCATGTCTATTGGTGATTGATTTGAGAAGATCAATATCTTTTTAGATGTTATCTCATGCAAGTCTACACATTCACTTTTGATAGCATTCCAGTTGATTGCATTGATATCCTGAAGATAAGATTCCTGATTGAAATTGACCCGATTTGCTTAGGATTGTATTTAAACTAGGAATATCATATTAGTGAGATTCAGGACTAATTAGCATATGATCATGGTCAGCTTCATCAAATTTATCAGGATTAGGTAATATGTTGTATAAGTCCAGGTCTTTCAAATTTTGAAGTCGTAAATAACTTGATCCTGTTAGAATATGAAACTCTGTATCATTTAAGCTAAAAAAGGGGTAATGCTTGAAGGTTATTGTGAGTCATCATAGTCAATATCTGAGTGAGTTGAAAATAACTTGATCCTGTTAGAATGTGAAACTCTGTATCATTTAAGCTAAAAAGGGGTAATGCTTGAAGGCTATTGTGAGTCATCATAGTCAATATCTGAGTCTCGGAGTTGTAAATAAATGTTACAATAGTGAATAATAATCAATAACTGCATGAGGGTTAATAAAAAGAAAAGATGCAAAATTTATGAGTTGCTTATCTTATCGAGGAAGTCTTGAAACTCTTCGTGGGTATTAAATGCTTCGGTTCTTGAGGATTCGTTGATCTTTAGTAGGATTCTTCCCTTTGCAGTCCAGAGATATTTAAAATTGTTCCTTCGTTTGAATTCATTTATGCGTCCAAATAACCGTTTGCGATAACTAGTGAGGGATTCGTTGATATGGACTTTGTTGTTGCTAGCAGCGATATGAACTGGGTCGTTTTGCACTGATGGCAGATGGATGATATTCTTTCCAGCTAGATTTCTACGTTTCTTGTAAATTTCTTCCCTTTTAGCTCTGTGCACAAATTTAATGATCATTCGATGTTTCGCTTTCGCAGTGTCCGGTAGTCGATGAGCTGCTGCAATATGATCATCATTGATTTGGACATCAATCAGGGATCCAATCTCTTTTACAAGTTGTTTAGGGCTGTCATTTGATAACACAGGGATGCCAGTTATTTCAAGGCAGTCTCTTCTGGAGTATTGTTGCATTTCATCAATTACACAGTCAACTCGATACATGGATTCTTCCATGCTGTTGGTTCGATCATCCAAATTTATCAGTGGTTTTCGCTACTTCAGCGTCTCGTTTCTCGAGTATATCTGTCGTTTTGTTCACAGATTGGAGTGCATTTAACATAGAGTCGTATTTATCTCAAATGAAGGCCTGTGATTTTTCGATGGAGTCGACCCGTGTTGTTAGAGTCGTGATGTGCATTCGCAGCGATCGACTCAAGTTCATTTTGAATTTATTGCTTCATACTTGGTAGGAATTCATCTTTCCAAATTTGGCGTAGAGAGTTTACGTTAAGGTAATTCTTACTTTCCATCTTTTTCGTATCTTCTTCACTTGCTTCTCCTCGCCTCGGCATCTTACTTTCATGTTCCCGTTCCAAGATGCAACAACAACTAAACCTGACTTGTCAAGAACTTCAACGAAACTTCAACGGAACTTCAACGGAAGTCAGTGCATAACTAAGATTATTATCCAACTACAGTTTGAACGGTTTCTGTTAGAAATAGCGGCCCACGGATTCACTGACCGAGCTGAAATGCGCTGTTAAAACGAGGGCGTCCCGGCATCCAGAATTTGGTAGACGAAAGGGGGCGAACTACCACTCTGAACTTCGATCGGAATCAAATGCTGAACAACTCTCCGTAAATATGTCGGTCACCTTTCACTGTTTCCAACCCTAACGATGGCTGCTCGAATCTTTTCATCAGCTCCAGGAATGAGTTCCTCGACTGAGCG